ACGCCCGGCTAATTTTTTGATTTATTGTAGAGGTGAGGTCTCGCCAAGTTGCCCAGGCAGGTCTCTAACCCGCGGGCTCAGGCAATCCACTCACCTCGACCTCCCAAAGGCACAGGATTACAGGCTGAGCCACCGAGCCCGGCTTCACGCTGCATCTTTTAATGTCTCGACCATGACCCAACCAAAGCACAGACTATGGACAACAAGTCACCCCCAACCCCTGGGGACTGCCAGCCTTAAGGGCTCAGAGCCCAGCTACCCCTTTAGGACAAGTCAGAAGTGACACGACTGAGTCTGTAAACTGGTTGCCTGAGAGAGTGGACCTCAGAACCACACAGCCCTGGACTTCACTCTGGCCGTTAAGGAACAGTGTGGGGTCTTTTGCTGCCAGGAATCAGCACACTTATCCTGGCAAACCAGCACTCACCTGGTGTTCGTGAGGCCCAGAAAGCCAGGCGGAAGGGTGGGGCTTCTGGGCATTTCTGGATGACATCAATCACACAAGGAGTTGCAAGGATGCTGGAATTCTGGTACACAGGTAGCAGGGATGCTGATGGAATGAGGCCCACTGTACCCTAAAATGCTGTGTCATGGCCAGGCGCGGTGACTCACGCCTATAATCCCAGCACTTTGGGTGGCCGAGGTGAGACGATTACCTGAGCCCACGGGTTCGAGACCAGCCTGGGCAACCTGGTGAGACCTCATCTCTACAACAATTAAAAAAATTAGCTGGGCATTGTGGCGCGTGCCTGTAGTTCCAGCTACTTGGAAGGCTGAGGCAGAAGGATCGCCTGAGCCCAGCAGATCGAGACTGTGGTGGCCAGGAGTGTGACACTACCCTTCAGCCTGGGAGACAGAGTAAGACTCTAACTAAAAACAAACAAACAAACAAACAAAAATGCTGTGTCATAAATCTCTCTCCAGACACAAAACAAGCAGGAAAGGAAATCTGGAGTCAGGAGCAAAGATTCCAATCTAAGGGAAAGGGTAGACCACGGGCCCCTACAAGAAATCGAGGGGGCAAAGTCCTACCTGCTCACTGACTAATACTCTTCTTCTGGTCTTTTCCTTTCCTGGTATCTGCTTATTATTTTCCCCTAAATAAGTGGTATCTGCTTATTATTTTCCCCTAAATAAGCGGTATCTGCTTATTTTCCCCTAAATAAGTGGTATCGCTTAATATTTCCCCTAAATAAGTGGTATCTGCTTATTATTTTCCCCTAAATAAGTGGTATCTGCTTATTTTCCCCTAAATAAGTGGCATTTGCTTATTATTTTCCCCTAAATAAGTGGTATCTGCTTAACATTTCCCCTAAATAAGTGGTATCTGCTTATTATTTTCCCCTAAAGTGCTGGCTGAGTTCCAGAGTTTGACCTTGAAGTCTGCAAGTTCTGGGCAACCCCTTCGGGTCCCCTCCCACTGTGGGAGCTTTTCTGTCTTCTCAATAAATCCTGCTTTCTTAAAAAAAAAAAAAAAAAAAGAAGTCGGCCAGTTCCTAACTGGGGTTTCAAAAGAAACCCCAGCAAGACAAGTTGAAAATGCTCTTCTCCCACAGTTGTAGAAAGGCAGCCACCATCCTGGGTCATGTTTTTAAAAAAATCCATTCTGCCAATCTCTGCTTTTTAATTAGAGAGTTTAACCCACATATAGTATTTACAGCAAGTACTGAGAAGAACTTACTTCTGCCATTTAGCTGTTTTCTGTACGTCTTACATATTTTTTGTTCATCAATTCCTCCGTTACTGCTTTGCATGGATTTTTTTTCTGTATTGCATCATTTTGATTCCTTTCTTTCCTATACATTTTTTTTTTTTTACCATTGAACTGTATACTTTATTTTTTTGTTGTTTTGTAGAAACTTTTTTTTAAATTATAAAGATGTGGGGTACAATTCAGGGTTAGGTATACAAATGTTGATAATGCAGGTACCCTTGTTGATGAGGTGTGCCCCTCCCTTCCCTGACAGTTTCCCCCAACTGCCAATCCCACCCCCCCCTCCCCTGACAGTTTCCCACTACTGACAATACTTTTCTTATAGTATAATTGTTCAAGGTCCACTTGTGAGTGAGAACATATGGTACTCTGTTCCTTGTTTCTGTGATAGATCACTGAGTATGATCGACTCCAAATCCATCCAAGTTGCTGCAGAGTCCATATGTTTGTCTTTCTTTATGGCTGCATAATATTCCATTGTGTCTATGTACATTTTGTTATTTTCTTAGTGGTTACCTTTGGGATTACAATTAATAGCTTAAATTTATAGCAACGTAGTATGAAAAATAACAACTTAATTTTGGTAGTATACACTCTGCCCTCCCTCATCTTTGTTCCTTCCCTTTATATTGTCGTTGTCAGATTATATCTTTATACATCGTGTTCCCATTAACATGGATTTATAATTAGTTTTGAGGACTTTGCTTTTAAATCAAAAGAAAAAAGGATGAGTTACAAACCCAAAGTGCAACAATACTGGCTTTTCTAATTACCTATTAGTTACCTCTACCAGTATTCTTAGAACATATAGCTTCATGTTATTGTCTACTATTCATTTCAGCCTGAAGGACTTCCTTTAGGAGGGCAGGTCTACTAATAACAAACTCCCTTTATTTTTATCTGAGGACATCTTAATTTCTCCTTTATCCTTCAGGAATGTTTTTCTTTTTTTTCTTTTTTAGCATTTTAAATATATCATCCTACTGCCTTCTGGACTCCATGGCTTTGGAAAGAAATCAGCTGTGGGGCTGGGCACAGTGGTTCATGCCTATAATCCCAGACTTTGGTAGGCCGAGGTGAGAGGACTGCCTGAGCTCAGGGGTTTGAGATCAGCCTGGGCAACTTGGTGAGCCCTCATCTCTACAATAAATCAAGAAAAGTTAGCTGGGCGTGATGTCACATGCCTGTAGTTCCAGTTTCTTGGAAGGCTGAGGCAGAAGGATTGCCTGAGCCCAGCAGGTGGAGGTGGTGGCCGTGAGCATGCCACTGCACTTCAGCCTGGGTGACAGAGTGAGACTCCAACTC